ACTGAACACTAACATGGTATCAGAGATGAACTGAGCAAACCAGATCTGCCCAGAATTCTGTTATCTGCGCACCCAGCCTAGGGTTTTCTCTTATTTTCTTTGCCATCAGCTAGAGATAAGGGACAGGGCTGAAAAAGAGTGATCGCCCTCTTCCCTTGGAGGTATCTATGCCTCCAGTTGTGGTGTTTGTGGTTGGTTGCTGCAGTTTCTAAGAAGCCCTCCCCTAATCGATGAAGAGAAGAGGGCTGATTCGTGTGGTGCAGTGGGTGTCTTGTGTGGTCTGATTTTCGGTGATCAAGTAAGAGGTATTATGCATTTTTTTTTGTGTGCATCAAGTGAGAAGTCTATTTCAGACTGTATGGTGGGATTTCAGATTGTAGTGTGCTAGGGTTTGTGCACCCTTCAGTGTGATTCGAAGGGGGGGGGGTGGTCCTCAAACAATGTTGGGAAGTTTCAAGCAGTCGTGGAGTTGGGTTTGTGGTGTAAAGAGTGCAATTTGCAGCAGTAGTAAGTGCTGAAATCAGTGTGTAGTGTGATCTAGTGTGCAGTTTGCCGAATTCAGCAATGGGAAACAACAGTGATAGCAAGACTAGTGTGATGGTCCCTACTGACTACCTGAATGTTCAAATGACCTCCATTAAGCTGAATGGAGAAAATTATGTACCTTGGGCCAAATCTGTAGAAGTCTTTCTTAAGGAAAAGAAGAAGGTGAAGCACATAAGGGATGAAAAACCTTCCACCAGTTCTCCTGAGTATGATGATTGGGAGCAGGCAGATGCACAGATCACCACATGGTTATGGAATAGTATGGAACCCAAGATTAGTGTAAATTTCATGTTCCTTGATACTGCCAAAGAAGTATGGGACCATGCGAAGAAGCTGTATTCGGGTCAAGACAACACAATCAGAGTATATCAGTTGTACCAGGAATACTTTAATCTACAACAGGGTAATCAGAGTCTTGAGTAGTACTATGCTAGTATGAGAAACATCCGTAATGAATTGAATGTTTATCACCCCCTCACTTCTGATGTCAAAATTCAGCAACAACAGAGAGAACAATTTGATGTGACTCGGTTTTTGGTGGGGCTGAAATCTAAATATGAACCCGTGCGGGCTCCATATACTAGGAGGGTCAGCTCTCCCTTCCTTAGAAGAGGTGTTTGCTTGACTCGGGTGGATTTCCATTGGATCTACCGAGAACCCTAATATTTCCGATAGATCAGCCCTAGCAGTATCCAGAGGCCGTGGTGTTAGAGGTGGAGCTCGGGGAGCTCAGTCTGGCCATAGTGGTAGTAGTGGACCGGCATATGGCGGAGTGGTGGTAGTGGACCTACATATAACCATGGTGGTGGTCGTACTGGAGATCGAGATTCAGGGGGAGCTCGTGGCAGAGGACGTAGTTCGGGTCCAAGGAGGTGTACACACTGTGGTATGGATGGACATACCATCAATTATTGCCATGACTTGCATGGTCCACCTTCAACTTGGGCCAATCATGTCGTGACCAGTGACAGTAGCTTCAGACAGGAGAGCCATTTAGTCGATCAGGTACCTCCTACATCCACAGATGTTGCTGGGAAGGAGATGATGAGTATTCCCCGTGATGATTATGAAAGGTTAGTACAGGCCACATCTCAACAGAACACGGCTACTCTCGCGCACTCAGGTACGGCTTGTCTAGAATCTACACCCCATCCCTGGATTATTGATTCTGGAGCCTCCGATCACGACTGGAACTCCAGGTGTGTTTTCTTCCCTCTCTCATTGCCCAACATCACAATCTGTTACCCTTGCTAATGGTTCCACATCCTCCATTTGTGGTGTTGGTAATGTTGACCTGGACCCTATATCCCTATTCTCAGTTTTGTATGTCCCTAAATTTCTTTTTAATCTTATGTCTGTTAGTAAGTTGACCAAGTCTCTTAATTGCTCCATTACCTTTTACCCCTCTTCGTGTGTCTTTTAGGATCTCAAGACGGGGATGAAGATTGGTGGAAGGCATTAAGCTAGTGGATTGTATTATCTTGATGGTGGTGGAAGTATGTCAACAGCTCTCCAATCGTCCCTCTCTCCTCTCTAGTGGCACTGTCGATTTGGTCGTCATTCACTGAAAGTTTTGAAGACTTTGGTTCCTTCATTGAGTCATCTTTCTATTTTGGATTGTGAGTCGTGTCAGTTGGGGAAACATCATCGTGTTCCCTTTAGTCCTAGAGTTGATAAWCRTRTATTGAGTCCTTTTTCTTTGGTTCATTCAGATGTTTGGGGTCCTTATAAAGTGATGTCATACAATGGATATAAATATTTTGTCATTTTTGTTGATGATTAT